ACTCACTCTGTAGACCAGGCTGGCCTCAAACTCACAGAGATTCACCTGCTTCTGCCTCCCGAGGGCTGGGATTAAAGGCGTGCTTCACCACTGCCCGGCCAGATCTTGTTGTTTTATTTGTTTTTAATGGTCTTGACACTTTTGAAGACTCCAGGTCAGTTATTTTGTTTGAGTTTGTAATGTTTTCTCTTTAATTAATTAATTTTTATTTTATGAACATTGGTGTTTTTGCCTGCTTATATGTCCTTGTGAGGGTGTCGGGTCCCCTGAACCTGAGGTTACAGACACTTGTAGCCGCCATGTGGGTGCTGGGAATTGAACTCAGGTCCTCTGGAAAAGCAGCCAGGGCTCTTAATGGCTGAGCCATCTCTCCAGCCCCCTTTTCATTTTTTTTATGATTAGACTTGGGTTTAGGAGAGACTACCACAGTGGTGAGGTGCCCTTCTCCTGGAATCTTATTGAGGGTGTGCAATTACATCACTATGACTAGTCTTTGGGGATATTAACTTAGATTCCTTGGTTAAGTTAGTATTGTCCAAGTTTTTCCACTATAAAGTTATTATTTTTCTTACAATATTCTAGAGCAAGTTACTAGGTCCAGTTCACAATCAGCCAGGAATGAAAAGTAGTTTCTTCTATCCAGTTGTTTACAGTGTGGACTCATGGGTATTTATCTTGGCTTTCAGTTATGAACTTTATATCATTATTTATTTTACTACTCAGAATAACTCCTGTCTCCACCACCTTGTTTAATTGTTTTCTGTAGCTATAATTTGAACTAAGTACTCTACCACTGAGCTACATCTCCAGTCCCCCAGTGACCTTTCTTTTTCATGCGTGTGTGTGTGTGTGTGTGTGTGTGTGTGTGTGTGTGTGTGTGTGTGGTTGTGATGCTGGGGGTCACTTGTGAGATAATAGGTATTCTACCATTGAGAGTCATCCTTAGCCTTTGTTTTTTTTTTTGTTTGTTTGTTTGGTTTTTATTATTCTATTTTAAGTGTGTGGGTGTGCACCATGAGCATGTCTGGTATCTGTAGAGTTCAGAAGAGGGTGTCAGCTATCCTGGAACTGGAGTTACAGATGGTTGTGAACTGCTATGTGGTTGCTGGGAATCACCGAGGACCTCTGGAAGATCAGCCAGTGTTTCACCTCTCCAGCCTGCCCTTGTTTTTTTAAAATACTACTATCATTTTATGTAGCCAGGCTGGCTTCAAGCTTAGACTCTCATGCTATGTTACCGTCATATATCCCCATGCTTAGTTCAATTATTATTATTATTATTATTATTATTATTACTATTGTATTATGTATTACATTAAAATTAGCTATTTTATTTTTTGGTTTTTCGAGAGATAGGTATTCTCTGTGTAATAGCCCTGGCTGTCCTGGAACTTTGTAGACCAGGCTGGCCTCGAACTCACCGAGATCCACCTGCCTCTGCCTCCCTAGTGCTAGGACTAAAGGTGTGCGCCACCATGCCTGGATATTTTAACTCTTTTTATGGTTTTTCGAGACAGAGTTTCTCTAGTTTTGGTGCCTGTCCTGGATCTCGCTCTGTGGACCAGGCTGGCCTCGAACTCACAGAGATCTGCCTGGCTCTGCCTCCCGAGTGCTGGGATTAAAGGCTTGCACCACCACCACCTGGCCCTATTTTAACTTTTTAAGAAAAAGTTTTTTAACTTTTTTTCTTTTGAGGCAAGGTCTCAGTATGTGGACCAGGCTGACCTTGAACACAGAGATCCATCTGAGTACAGAAATTAAAATTGTGTGCCACCATAGCTGGCACTGTTGTAACCATTTTTAGGTGCTGATATCTGAACTTTCTGTCATCTGGACAGAAGCACATTGCCTATCAAATGATAACTCTCTGTGCCCTCTCCTCCTGGTCCCTGAGCCCCTCTACTGTACCTTTTGCCCTTGGGTTCCCTACTTTAGGCATCCCATGTAGGTGGTCTTTATTCCTTGTCCTTTTGAGTCTGATGTATTTCACTTAGCATAATAATTTTAACATCCATCTCATAGCACGTATCAGAATTTTATTTTTGTTGTAGCCAATATTTAATTGTGTGTATGAAAATACCGTATTTTGTTTATCCATTCATTTGTTGATAGACAGGTATTTCCAGGTTTTGACTGCTGTGAATAATGCTACTATGAACTGCTGTACAGGTCTCTGTCTGGGCCTCTGTTTTCAGTTCTTTAGAATATATACCTGGGAGCTGAAAGACTGGGCCATATGGAGAGTCTATATTTAGGTTTTTTTGGGACCTGGCATACTATTTTCCACAACAGCTGCCTGCTTCTCTCCTCTCTCTCTCTCTGTGTCTCTGTCTCTGTCTCTATTTCTCTCTCACATCTCTGTGTTTGCACAAGCTGATTTTAAACAGCTGATTTTATTATTTTTAGTGCTAGACATTGAACACATAGCCTGGTATATACTAACCCCATGCTTTACCCCTGAGCTAAATCACACACACACACATACACACACACACACACACACACACACACACACAGACACACACACACACAGACACACACACACACACACAAAATGTAGCCAACCTGTGCTACATAGTGAGAACTTGTCTAAACTGTGTGTGTGTGTGTGTGTGCTTGCTTGCGTGCTTGCGTGCGTGCGTGCGTGCGTGCGTGCGTGTGTGTGTGTGTGTGTGTGTGTGTGTGTGTGTGTTACTAGGATTCAAACCCAGGGCCTTGCACATGCCTAGGGCAAGTACTGACAACCACACTCCTAATTCTTCCTTTTTCATGATGGATGTCCTGATAAGTACTGCATGCATCACATTGATTTTTGGCTTATTTATTTTGTTTTGTTTTTCAGTTGTGGCAAAATATGTCCATTATAAAAATCACCATCTTAATGATTTTAGGGCTGGTGATGTGGATCAGTGGAAGGTTATATAGTTCAGTGACGTTAAGTATTCACATTTTGTGCACCTGTCACCACTGTTTTAAAATGCTTTTATTTTCCCAAGTTGAAATGCTGTACTGCTTCAGTGGTGACTCCCAGTTGTCTCTTGCTCCAAGGCGCAGGAAACTGTCCTTGTCCTGTCTCAGTGAACTTGATTTCGCTAAGTACAGTTTGTCTTTTGTGACAGGTTTATTTCGGTTAACGTAGTGTCTTAAAGGTTCATTCATGCTGGTTAGAGCATGTTTCAGGATGCTTTCTTTGATGCCCCTTATCTCAGGACTGGAAGGTGCAGCTCGGTAGAACTCAAGCAAAGTATGGGAGCCGTTGAGTTCAACCCTTAACAGCTGGGACAAAAAGCAGAAATCCTCCTCATTTCAAGATTCGTAGTTTAGTTATATCTGCAAAATTCTTATTACTTTCTAAAATTGCATGTTATAGACTAGGGATCCGGATAGACTTTTGGGAGGTGGGCAGCATTATTCTGCCTACCACTGTGTTTTTGGAGCCAGATTTTCTCAGAGTACCTCTATGTCTTTTTATCATCATCTTTCTAATTTCTTACCTTTTTTT